AGGGCACGTTCTGCATGGAGCACTGGGTGTTATGCACAAACAAGGAATCATGGAACACTACCTCAAAAACTAATGATGCAATGTATGGTGATTAACATAACATAATAAAAAAAAAAGCCACAAAAAAAAAAAAAAAGAGATCGTCTTTAATTGCTGTATGCCCATAGGACAATTTCCACAGACTGAAGGGCTGTTCTCTTTATTTTCAATAGATCTTCCCAATTATGGGTGTTTCCCTAACACTAGGGAGAGGGTCTATAGAGCTCCTCACACCACCATTCTAGAAGCGTTTCTCCCTTGCTTCCTTTTTTCTCTCACTTTGCTACCTTTGGTTTGCACCACTCATATAAGCTTTGTCTCACACTGTTTTCTAGAGAGCCAGGATTAAGAAGGCAATTTTAGAAAGAATATTTCAGGCAGCTGTGTGGAAGCACTATTGCATGGGTGGAAGTGGTACCAAGGGTTGACCCCTCGGCGGGGGGGAGGGGGACATGGGGACAGCAAACCTCAACCTGGAAGACAAGGTGGTCGACTGCTGTAGAATTCAAGTTTTCCTCTCACTATCCTCTGACCTTGGCATCACTTCTCTGATAGTGATTGTACTCTCAGTTACTAGTTGATTGTATGGCAAAAGACGTTGTAATATATTCACAAAGATTTGAAATTTTAGAGCAGGAAAAGATACCTGGAGTGGACAGCATCTTCAGTCTATAGATGATAAAATTGAGGCTCAAAACAGGTAAAGCGTCTTTCCCAGAGTGAAGCAGGTAATTAATGCCGGAGAACAGAGGTTTTCTGATTCTTAGTTTCCATCTTGTCATGGAGCACCATGGGAAATTCTCTCCCATTTCTTTTTAGAAAACAGAAGTAAAACAGAAATGCAAAGGAAAAGATAAAATATCTATTCTAAGGAAGTTTTCCATTACAAGGCTATGCATGTCAACTTTTCTGAAAAAAATATTGGCCCAATATGGTGACCTGCTTGAGGTCAACCTCTCATTTTAGTGACTAAATTGGATGTATTTTTAGAGCCAAATTGCAAAGGAAAGAGAAAAAAAATCCATATGTGAACTCTTAATCCTTGTCTTATTAAGAAGTTGCATCTAGATGCTAGCCTTCCTCAACAGAGGTAGCTCTGTTTTCCAGTGATCTTTGCTGAGCATGGGGTGGAGGGTGGGAGTGATCCACTTTCACTAACATGAACAAAAAATATATATAAATTGCCCTTCCGTTTGATATGGAAGAGGCGTTGAGACTGTTTATGGAGAATAATTTTCATTTTCTTTTGAGCGCTATTCCGCATTGTAACAGAGTTCTTATTCTCCTATAGCATAAGAAATGTGAGTAAAAATAATAAAAACCAACATTTATTAAGTGCCAGTTAAATGCCAGAGATTTTCCTTGCTTTATCTCATTTAATGCTTCTAGCCAGTCGATGAGGTAGATATTATTATCCTCCCTGTTTTCAGAAAAGGATGCTTTGAAAGGTAACTAATCGGGTTAAGTCCACCTGGCCAGATGTAGAAGAAGCAGAAGTAGATCCCTGGAATCCATTTCAAATTCTTCCATAAACACTCTGTGTGGTACTGTTCTTTTTGAACAAATAGACCGTAATTAACAAAATTCTTTAAAATGAAAAATTTGGATGTGCCATGGAGATTTTTTTAAAACTAGGTTTTAAATGTATTTTATGAAACTTGTTCTGCTGCTTTTTTTTTTTCCTGTGTAAATTTCATGGAAACCTAGAACTTTCTTTGAGTTACTGCACATGAGTTTGGTCATGTGTTATGCTACCCCCTCTTCCTTCCCAATTTACAGAGACCATATGATTCCAGGATAATCCTGGCTGACACCTAGAGTCTGGCATAATTATCAATCGTTCTTCTCTACTCTCAAAAACGCCCTTGTGTGGATGATAATTACAAGACCACCTTAATCGTTCATTGAACATGCCGAGGTGTCATATTGCGGCTGCCCACTAGGTGTCAGCAGCGTAACCCCCGGAAAACGCTCAAGGAGAGCATTACATTACAAAAGTCCTATCAGAGCAAATAATTAAGTGCAGGAGCTACCTGCAGCCTTGCCCATTCAGAACAAGTGTGAGAGCAGGGGGAGGAGAGAAGGAGCAGGTGCAGGACAGGTAGCTCCTTACTGAGACCCGGTGGAGAGGGAAGGATTCCCTTCCTAGTCAGAAGGACTCCAGTGATCTCTGGAATGCACACCGTGGTACCCCTTTGAATTTTCACTCACAAGATGACACCAGTGTGCAGTGAAGTGAGGAAACAGCGTTGAATGAAGGCCTGTTTTTCCCTGGCCTTTGAGCCAGAAGCTGACTTATCTGGACACAAATCCTTTAAAGGTGATTTGAAAACATCGCCGCTCAGAACTCAATGACACGCTCGGACTCTTCTTGGGATGACCCACAGACTGCACGTATGTTACCTTTGACCCAGGTAGACGCCTCTGCTCTCTAGAAACCCTCCTCACGGCCGATTGGCACACAACGACACACAGGGTAGGAGAAGCCCACAGCATGGGTTTTCAGATGCTTGTGCCTTTCAGTCCTTGGAACTGGGTGCTGCTGCCGGTGGCCCTCAAGTGTTCTGAAGCATCTTCAGATTTGAACGAAGCCACAAATTCCACGGCCCAGCATGAAGCTAACGTTCGGTTTGCTGCTGCCAGTTCAGAGGTAAACGAGAAGATATCTGTTTTTGCCCTGGATTATGACTACGTGCAAATTCCTTATGAGGTCACCCTCTGGATACTTCTAGCATCCCTTGCAAAAATAGGTAAGTCCCCCAAACACCTGGTTGTGGGAATCGTTCTCCACGTGCCTCGTAGGTGGTGAACTACACAGATTTTAACTGTTACTGCTATTACATAAAAAAAAAAAAAAATCTGTTCCTTAGAGTCAAGGGGAAGTCGTAACTGCTTTTTATAAAGCCACGTAACACCTCAGGATTGTGCTTTGAAATTTGAGCATACTTCTGGGTTCTGGGATTTCTTCTTATTTCAGGGTGACACCTATGTGACATTATTGGCATGCAAAAATCTCAAGTTCTATGCCTTAAAAACTAGAGCATAAGGCATTAGACCTCGGGATGATGCCCATTGGAAATTACAGAATATTCTTCTGTAGAATATTCTTCCTTCATTCTTGGCCATGTAACTGTGGGCTTCATCAATGACTCCCTTTGTTTATTCTTTAAAAGTGACATGTATTCCTTGCAGAATGACAGAAAGCAAGGAACAAGACAATCACAGGCCACTCTTACATCACTCAGTGGTGGGATGTGGGGGCATAAGAGAGGGTATGTTGGTAACATACTGGTTTACGCCTGAGCCAAATGGCACTACTGGGGCACCTCAGGTTTCCTTTGTGAAATAAAGGGAGTTTGAGTTCATGAATTAAATTCTCATCAAAATAATGGTTTACACTCTGTGATCAGTTAATCCCTAACTCCACCCCCTTGTCTCCCTAAAACCAGCTTATTCCAAAGTGAAAAACTGATACAGTTATCTCAATTATTAAGCATGACATCTCCTTTGCCTCTGTTATGATCTTTGTTACTTGAGTAGGTAAGTTGTCCTATTGGGATAGAATCTATGATTCATTTTGATGCTTCTTTATAATTTTCCTCTAGCCTGGGTGTGAAGTAAGGGTTGATCCATGGGATCTGGCAGACAACTCCCGGGGATCAGGACTGTGGGCTCTGTCTACTCATCTAACTCCCTCCCCGGGGATGACGGGGGTACTGGTGTATTCACTAGATGGTCCTTCACAATTGCCATTCATTTTGAGCTAGTAAAGTGTGAAGAGTGAATGGAAATTGTTAATTTGAAGAACTCCTGTGTGATTTGTCAAAGCATTAAATTACACAAAGGGTCTCACGTTATTTCTAAAAAGTGCTCAGGTGAAAAATGGCTTTCTAACGGGTTAATGTTCTCAGTTCAGAGCTAGGGTTCTACCACCTTTCATGCAACCACATGGGCACTGAGATCATTCAAAGTGATCTTATGTGGATCTTGAGTTTTCCTTTGTGAACAATACTGTCTCCACCCACTCCTTCCCTCTTTACAGTAATGGCGGAAGTTGGTCTGGGAGTCAAGGAACTAGAGCTGCCACTGACCAGCTAGTCACCTTGTCTTTCTAAGTCTCCGTGTACCCAGCTGTGAAATTATTTCTAAGACCTCCTTTTGGTGCAAATAAGGATTTCTAGTGGCAAAGAGGTTTACATTCTATGTCACTAAAAGGCTCAATACAGAAGGATATATTTTATCTTGGTTTTATATTAGCATAATACACAGATTGTTTTTTTTTTAGAGTATTGTATGTACCCAGACCCACTATATCTAGAAGCTCAGAGGATGGTAAGGACACTGTTGTTCACAGGACTACTGACTTAAATGTTCTTGATTTTCATTTTGGTGAAATTCAACATATTTTAGAAAAAGAAACTAACTTCAGTAGGTTATCGGTTGGATCATGCTTACTGAAATATAATTTCATATTCGCTAGTCTTTAAGAACTCATACTATTTCTATATTGCACATGAAAAGAAGGCTATACTTAATGATTATTATTTCTTATGTGTCAAGTACTGGGCTTGTAGTTTTATATGTGGTGGTTCATTTGCCTGGGGCAAAAAAAAATGACATAAAACTTTCACACATAAGGAATCTATATAGATTTTTTTTAGATTCTATATTGTAAAACTTGAATCAAAACATAATTAATAATCATTACATTTAACATTCATTCTTTCACTCAGTCATTCTGTCAAGACACATTTATTGAATGCCCCTACCATATGTGGGAATGACCATGGTTCCTGGCCTTAAGGGGCTTAGTGTAATGGGGAAAACAGATGAATCTAGCACTGCCTGGTAGGCATTTGGACACAAGAACATCACGACTCTCCTCCAATCCTTTTTAAAAGAGCCAACTTGTGTGTTATAGAAGAATATTATAGAACAACGATAATACAGAGTCACCTCAGATTTTGTTGTTTATCTTTTATTTTGGTTCTGCTTCTTGGCGCATTACAGAAGGGTGTTCCTTGAATCATTGGGCAGAATGGAATTGTACAGCCCTCTTTGACTTTCAGGCAGGACGTTGTTATTTGTGGCCATTTAAATTTCAGGCACTAGAGTTGTAGACTCTCAAAGTGACTGACTCTGCTGTCCATCAGGAAAGGGAAGGAGAGTTGTAGAGTGTGATGCACACGGCATTTCTCCTTACAATGCCCTACTTTACAGTGCATGGCGCCTCTTCCTGCTACCACTGCCTAGGTGTAATTTGGCTTAAGACAGGTGCATGTTGGGGGCGCCTGGGTGGCTCAGTTGGTTAAGCGACTGCCTTCGGCTCGGGTCATGATCCTGGAGTCCCGGGATCGAGTCCCGCATCGGGCTCCCT